GCTCTGCTTTGGACCTGCTTCTACAGCTTTGTGTCCTTCTTTTGAGGGGAGCTCCAGAACTGGACACAGTACTCCAGGTGTGGTCTCACAAAAGTTGAGTAAACAGGGAGAATTACCTCTGTTGTCCTGCTGGCCCAACTTGTTTGCTTGCAGCCCAGAAAGTCAACTGTGTCCTGGCTCATGTTGAGCTCCCCACCTACCATCACCCCAAGTTCTTCTCCTACAGACTGTTTAAGGTCTGTTCTCCACGCAGCCTGTATTTATGCTTGGGATTGCCCCAAGTCAGATGCAGAACCTTGCACTTGGTTTTGTTGAACTTCATACACTTTGCATGAGCCCACTTCTCAAGCCTGTTTAGGTTCCCCTGGAGATGGGACTTTCCAGCAGTCTTACTAGTGAAATAAACATGTAATCTGACAAAAAACTACCGGTGTATAGAGGTGCCTACCAGTTTTCAGTGCATCTAAACTTGAAAGCAAATCAATAATTGTATTAGCAACAGCTCTCTAGGGGGAGCCTGGCAGGCATGCTAGCAAATCCATGGGGCACAATGTCATCTGGGGAAGTCAGAAAATCTCTGTGTACTCACAGCCACCACTCAAGATCGACTGCATAGCAGGAGTGCACTCATACATCAGTTTCACTGACTTGAAAGTTTTGGTTTCATACTCACAGACCTACATGAGCAGAGATAAATCCAGGGCACCCCCTGTGCTGCTCCCAGTCAACCCTGCAGCACATCCAAGTAACAAAGCATCTTAATGCTTTGGGGTGATTACCATCTCAAACATTTCTACAGTGGCTGGTGAGACTTCACAGCCATTGGGGGGGAAAAAAGGCATCTTAAGTATTTCCAATTTTAAATCACTGTTCAGATGCTCTCCTTAAAGGACTTATAGAATAAATTTCACCATATTACCCTCCTCCTTCAGCCCAATCCTCCACTACTGGCAATACGTATGGCCTCTCTCAACAAGGGATCCTCTCCAGTAAGAGATGCTGATCAGCAAGTTCATTATTTCCTTCTATTCCCATCTCTTCTTAGACAAAAAAAAAACAACAACAAAAAACAAAACAAAACAAAACAACAAACAAAAAAACATTTAAAAGGTGCTTGGTTTACCTGGGGTATCTGGCACAGAATTAGCCATGCTGCATTTCCTCAAGGGTCAGAGTGTAATAATTGGCCTCAAGATAATAACTCTCTTAGCTTCCCTATGGAGCAGGTTTGACTTATGGCAAAGGGCAGAGAGAAGAGCAGTAGGCTTTTACCCACCAACATGGCAGCTTATCTTCATGAAACCTTACAAGAACTTAATGTTTAAGACCTATATCCCCAGCCAAACTTCGAACAAAACTGGCATCAAAAGTTAACTACAGTTGAGAGTCAGAAGAAAGGCAGTGTGATCCTATATACCTAGTTTTCTTAGCAATCTAATTGAAAATGTCAACTAATGCATGAACACTAGGAACTCATTAGTTCCCGTTAAACATAAAAAGACATACTGCAATTTACTGCATACTTATAGCACAATCTTGGCTTTTCTGAAGCAACTCTAAGGAACAGTTTTCCCAAAGGAACACTCAAATATGATGACAGAATATATAACAGCAGATATGGTGCAGAACCTAGAATCTTCAACTGCTAGTTCAAGTTGAGGCCATTGTCATTGTTACTCTTGTGTATATCCAAAAATATAAAAAGGTACTGTGCTGCCTTCTGTTAAGAGTATCTTAAGAGTTTCTTTATTGGCCTAGAACAGAATATGAAAATCTGGAGAAAAATTTATGTTTCAGTATGCCCGAAATATCCACACACATTTACTTACGCAGAAAGAAACGATAATTATAAAAGAGGGGGCTGAAAGGAAGAAGTATACTCTACAACTTACTTGGAAAATAACCTACAAAAACAACGGCTGTTTCCCACCACAGTTTTCCCACATTTTAAAATTTTGTCCAAATCTAAGACAAATAGCTCAATTATCTACTTTTTTCAGACAGTTCAGAATGTCCCAAACACAAATATTGAAATATTTAATTTGGAACATCCAAAATATTGAAACATTAGATTTTTTTTTAAATTCTCAAACTCAATCATGTGTTTCAACACTCCCAAGTAAAAATGCTACAATTGGTTAGCAGACTATGAAAGAAGGCATTTAAGATTAATTAAAGCTGGTATTTTCACCTGCTTCAGCTCCTTCAATAGATTACAAAACAAAAGGACTGCAAATTCGCTTTTGGAGCAAGTCTGCAACCCTCACATAAAAAATTACATACGAAGAAAGGAGAGGCAAGCATTACCGGTAAGCTAAATGCCAGCAAGTCCAATTCCACATAATACACATTATATAACAATATACTAATATATCATATGGATTAACTATTCAAACACCCTATTAAGAATAATTCACTAAAAGCCAGAATTAAATGCATGATTTTGGCAGTTTCACTTGGAACCACAGATACAGCCCTTCTGTGCAAAGACAGGGACTATGCAGTGGAACATAAGCTACAACAGAGGCATTCAACACTTCCAAGTAAATGAGCAAAGCAGCATGAATTGCGTGCTACCTGCATCAGAATTGATAACTAAAAATGTTATTCTTCCTTTATTCAGCTTTTATTACATATTCTTTGGAAGAAGAAACACTACTCTCTGTCAACGTTTAATACAAAGCCCTTCCAAAATATTATAGATGTCTCTTAAAATTCTTTACAAACCTAGCTTAAAATTTTGCCCCATTCTCTCCATCATGGCTGTTCAGACATTGCAGCTCTCACTGGCTTAATTAAGAAACCACTTCTCTTGCTTAAATTTTCCTTTTCTTTCTATTTTACGCTCTGATGCACATATAACCATCTCTCTTTAATAATTGTTTTGCTGCACTAAACAGGTTAAACACTTCTTAATATAATCTCAAAAACAAGCTTCCCATTCTTTTCATCTTTCTAACACTCCTTCTGCCAATACTCCTTCTGCCAGTCTTTCTTAAATGCAGACATCTAGATCAGAATAGCCAAGGTCTCACTGAGGTGTAATGACATCACACTTTTCTGAAAATACAATGCTAAAAGGGGCAATCAAAGTATCATCTTTTATCACATCCACATCATCATGCCAGTATTGTCAAAAGCAGATCAGGCAATATTTACTTTATTCATTGTCCCACATCTCTTTATTTGTCTATGGAGCACTGAAGTACATTGTCACACACTGTTGAACTGGTTTAGGATGAATTACCACTTTCTTTCAAAGCAATTGTTCTCAGCAAAATTAACAGATTTAGCTTTAGAAAGAAGCTCTTGGTAAATTCCAACCACAGACCTTAACTGACGTACTGTTTCTGTTTTGTAATACTGCTAATCAATCCCTAAGAATATACTGCAGGAAATGTCTCTCCCTTTTCCCTTGGTGGGACCTGCAAAGATTCCACAGCACTTCAGAAATCTCTTCTACAGACCTCTAAGTACTTTTCCTGTAAGGTGGCTCCAGTGATGTGACATTCTCCCTGTGACCCCGCTACATCTTATATTTGCTACAGATCATTTCTGTAACCAACAACCACTCCTGTGTAATCTCCGGGGCTTTTGCAGAGGGTTTTGTAAATGTGAATTTCAAACAGTTAAGCTCACAACTGCTAAAATACAGAACTGTGAGAAGAGCCTTCACCTATTTCATAATTTCAAAAACACTGTTTAATCTAGTTTTCTACTGAGCAATTTACTGATGAACTTTATCTTTGTATGTTTCTTTAAGATCAGAAAAATATGAGACCAGTCTTATTCTGAGAGCAGACGAACTGCAATTACAGTTTCACATTCTTCCTGTATCTGACTGGAACATATTAATGTATCTGTATCTGATAAAGAGGTAAGACTCAGGTAAGTGAACCTCAACCAGATGAGAGATTCAAGAGAGTCAGATGACATAAAATCAGTATTCCTCTTTGTAATATTATAAATTATTTAACTTTTCAATTTTGTTATGTTGTAATAAACCTAAGAGCAAAATGTATATTACTTTCAACTCAGCATCCAGTGTATTTTAATTGGTATAAGGGAAAGTCCCTTATAATTCACATCCTAAATCATGAGAGAATTTAGAATCAAAAACTAAAACCTAATTAGAAAAGTGAGCCATATGCTTAAAAAATGAGAGTAATTACAAATCAGCATTTTAAAATGCATGTAAAGAAAATGTACGCTTGAGAGGTTTGCTTAACAAGTGGGCCAGCTGATACAAGCCATCCTACTACACAGGATGGCTACAGTATTTTCTTAGTTGTTGGATACAAAGGGAAATGAAGACCTAAGATTTTTTTTATATAAGAACATAAATGTTTTCTCAGATTGGTTTTTACTACTGATCAAGAAAAAAACTTCAGTTTCAACATAAACTATAATCTTCTACATACTTAACACACAATTAGCTATACTATAAGACGTAAGAGAACAACTATATAGCTAAAAAGAGTAAGATACTGCAGCAAATTTGTCAATATAGTTAACAGCTCTTTTAAACATGAGAACCACATACGGTATGACATAACAGGCATCCCAGTGGGAGTAGTTTTTTAAACTTTTTTCTGAAGCACCACTTTCTTAAAATACTCTGCCAAAAAATGATTTTTTTTGCTGTGTATGTCTCCCAAGAAGCATACACTACAGAAAAATAGAAATCCCAAATTCCAGTGCACTGCCAGAGCCTAGAGCTACCCTGTGGTACCTCTGAGTCATACCTATAAATTTTTTTCTACCTTCAATGCCCAAGGGAACTATATAAATCAGAATATAGCAATTTACCTGAAACTAAATACATGAACGGAAGGGAAAATTAATTTAATAATACCACTTCACTAAGCTCTATGGATTATGGCCAGAGTATAAACCCTCAGAGACACATAACTTTGCACTAGAACTTGCCTGATTCTTGAAAAAAAAGAATCAATTTAACATTGCTTAAAAGTAAATGTAGTCAGAGTTCATATACATACCCTCTGCTTCTCAGGGTCAACGTATCGAATGCCAAAATAGTCTTTTTCCAGCAAGCTGTAATAGTTGCAGATGTGATCTATAAGAAACTGACCTTTAGTTTCCCTCTGTAAAAAGAGAAAAAAATGATATATTATTCTAAGTATTCTGAACTTGCCATCTATAAATATTTTTAAAATCTAATCAAAGTGTCAAGGAAAACGACCTATGAAATTTGGTTTTAGTCAGACAAGGATGAGCATTTGAGCATTCATCTTCTCTAAAAGATCCAGGAGATTAGTGATCAATATACTCTCTGCACATTCACAAAGCCATTCATTAAGAAAATAGAAGCACTACTCTTGCCACAGGAAAACTCATACTACTCTTATAGCTGCACATATATGACATATAATATATTACCAGTAAAAATATTTCCACTTGATGCTATAATGGCATAGCAGATGCCCACTTATATTTGGAATTCTAAAACAGTGTGCGTTTTTTTTGTACCCCTCTAGTTTGCAAGCAGTTTTGGCAGTTAGTACCTTACTGGATCTTTATGCAATGCCCACAGCAAGACAGACCTGATCCTTCATTCCTAGACAGCACTAGAGTACAAGGAAGAAATGCCCAAATGACTGAAAGAGATGTTTTCATCTTTGCATTGTCACTATCTGTAGCCTTAAGGAAACTTTCTGTACACATGATGTTCAGTTAATAATCTCATTCTTCATTTCTGCTTTCTTCAGTCTCAATACTGAAGAAATGTGTCCTTAATAATCTACTGCCTGATATAAAGAATGTATATGAATTTTCACATTTCTTCTGATCCAGGTGATATGATTTTTTTCTTCAATTGTGCTATGTGTGAGTGTTAACACCAGAGTAAAGCTGTTCTTCTAAAACACTCTATATCCACTTGAAGCAGACAAAGGGCTTTCATTACATTGCAGTATCAGGTCTCTGCATTTCTTCCTCTCTACTTGTCTACCCTAGTCCTGCACTGATAGACCTCTGCTGTGGACCAAGTAGTGAGTTTGTACAGCTCTGCCCTCGCTGATATGTAACAACCTGAACTTAGCACTTTAATGTCTACTGAACAGTAACTAGACAGGATGTGAAATCATATTACATTAAAAATAAGTATAGCAATAACTGTTTCTTAAAATTGTTCCCTGAAAGCTTTAATGCTATGCCTTATTCAACATGTCTCAAAGAAGTTAACAGGCAATTTAAACCCTAAATGGCATGGCTAGGCTGCAGCTCCTGCAGCTGTCCCCTTCCCTGCCTCATGGGCCTCCTCTCCTCTCAAAATACACTTGTAGCCACAATGGAATTGCTGATCTATCAACAGACTTGTTTTTCCTAGAGGTGGGGACCTCTGCTTCTCTTCCTACTGTCCAAACCATCTATTTCCACTACACCTTTTTACCACCACCTTCTACCTCCTATTAATTTACCTCTCACTATGTGTCCTTTACTCTTCCTTATGCTGCTACTTGCCCAGAGGATTTCACTGCCTTTTCTGCACTATGGTACTCCCGTAATTTTTTTTCCTATTTTTAAACAGCCAGTGTCAAAGGATGTCAACCCAATTTGTTTGTTTTCTGTACATGCTCACTCACACTTATGCTTTGCACCTGGCACTGCTAATTTTTTTGCAGCAGGTTTCCTGCTGTAATTGCTTCTTTCCAGCCTTGGGACACTTAAAAAATGACTAGTTTGCTGTTAATAGTGGTTAACACATAACCTGAAATTTTTTCATACTGTACCCAGTTGCAAGTGTGGGCATGCCAGTGACAACACAGAGAAAACTTTCCTTAAAAGGCAAAGCCAGTGTCAAAGATGGGAAACTACAAAAAGAAAGCCAACGCTCTCCCTGTGATGAACACACAGTCATATCTCAATGAAGTATCTTCTAGCTTACGATCTTAACAATGTCTGCAAACTTTTGTGACTACACAATAAGCAAGACCATCAAAATATTAAGACAAAATTGCACAGTGACATTTCAGTACAGAAGCACTAGGGAAAAAATTGAACACAGATGTGAAATGTAAGTTGCACATTGTTTTAAGATGAATCTACAATGAACTAAATAGAACTGAGGAATAAGAGATATTTGATGACTCAGGTAGAGTCAAACATTAAAATAGATTTTACTGACAACAGCATACAAAAGAAATCAAATTTTAAAACACTGGAAATCAGGAAAACAGGCTATTCATATTCTCATCTGACAATATTAGAGGATGTTACTGGAAGAACAGTCAGTAAATCTACTAACTTCTACAAGCTCACATTCTAATTAATTCATTTAACAATTCCTTTGCTTCACCCACCCAAAATAATCACAAAAGTCTTCTTGAGTTCTTGAGGAATCTGATAAAACGGGAGGGCATATATGATGTTTTTCAATGCAGTAAAAACATTCCCTTTCTAAAATGAATTGATGCCCTACTTTCTTGCTTGAAAGCTAGATGATGGAAATGAACCAAACAAAAAAGAGCAAAAGAACAAAAGCCTCCAAGCTAAATTGATGCTCTAGGAAACCTTAAGCCTGCCACAGATAAATGAAAAAGACTAGTTAATAACCTTACCCTTGGTTAGCATATACTTCAGTTAATAGCTCTATTCAGTCGGGCTTCAAGTTCCATGTGATTCATTACCATATATTAAAAAATATTTAAGATAGATAAAAGTGGCTAAACAGGCACATACGTAATGTAATGAGTATTCCCATAAGAAAATACTTTTCTAAATGATACGCTAATACGCTTTTTAAACACCTGAGATTTGAAGAACATATAATTGCTACACAGAGGAAAATAGCTGATGTGGCACAGAGCACCTCAAGTCTGAATCTATAATATGTAGTCTGGCAAAAAGGATGGGCAATGGTTGTTCATTTTGCTTTCTGCCAACAGCATCCATAAACATTTTCTAAATTTCTCTAACAATGCCCCAGATTTACCTGAGCTTTAGAATATGATGATCTCTCTTGTCTTCTGTGGGTTTTTTATACACTTATTACATACTATACTAAAAAAGAATATATTATATACAAAGCTTTCTCTTATTTATGAAAAAACATGGATAAATTAAATTAGGAACTGCCAGTCATCCACAACAGAGCACAAGAATGGATTTGGGTCACAGAATAATGAATAAAAAACATTGCCTGAAATTTCAGACAGCTGCCATATAGCTCTCCAATTAATTGATCCTTTAAAAAACAAAATCAAAAAATAGCAACCAAAACCAAAACCCAAACGTTGCTATATCAATAAAGTGCTTTGCAGCAATTCAGAAAAATCTTTTTATGCTGCATTTCAGTATATTTGTCAGAACATTAAAAAGGCCATTATTTCAAACACTCCTGAAGAATGTCAGCAACCAGCCACAAGAATCAGAGAGCAAAAGTCAGATTTTTAAAAGCTTCACAGATGAAATCTTTGATAATTACCAGAGTACACCCAGAAGTCATCAATTATTCTCAAGTAAAGAACCCAGGCAAAAGCAACAGTCACAAAGGTGTATAAGGAAGAGAACAAAAATGTCCTGGATTGTGATAAATTAATTGTTTTCAATGAAAGAATAGCAAGTTAAACAAGCCACTTTTTTTTTTTCCTAAGTTCATTAATTCAAATACAACATCTGACTGTCTCAACTTAGATGTATTTTCTTTCAGATTTCTGTAACACATACTCTATGAAAAGTGTTTTTTACAATGGCCATAAACAAAGTCCCATAATTTAGCCATTCCACACATGAAAATAGTCTTTTGGAGATTCCTGTAAATAATGTGAGGAATGACTCTCCGATTTGCTCAGATAAATAGGCACAGACAAGAAGGGTTAATTTTTCCTAAGGCATTTGAATATCTGACCTTAATATCACTAAAATCCCACAACAAACTCGAACACACACGCAAAGGATATAATGTCATGTAAATTACAGAATCCCTGAAGAGAGAAGGTCAACTTGCAGTAACTGCTAAACTCTGCTTTTCTGCTTTTTAAGCTGGATCAAGGGTTTTCTTTGCTATTCAAACAAGTATGTATTAAACTAGCAGCTGCTGGCAAAAGAAGTAAGCAAAACAAGGGACATACTCCACTCCAACAAAACATGAAACAGAGTACTCCACTGACAGATTCAACTGGACAACCTCAACTTCTTTCTCAGCTCTAGGAACCAAGTAAGACACTGCAGAAATGCTTAATTTTCACCAGCAGATGCTATTAATATAGCTTCCATTTCTACAACTGCACATTTAGGGCTGAGTAACCCCATTTCTTGGTAACTCCTCTGTTGCAGAAACTAACCCAAACAAAGACCTCTGTGGCAGCTGAGCAGTTTATGTTTAACACAATATCCCTGTCCTGTGCTTGCTTTGTTGACTTATTTTCTTTTTTATTATTATTCTTAGCTTATCTGTGTAAGTTAAAAGCAAAGGAGGGTTTATCTTGTTCTCCCTTCTCCAATGAAGTAAAAGGAGATCACAAAATATTTATGACTGTTTCACAATTCTGAAAGTCAGAGGGAAACCATTCATAGCTGTTTAAGATCTTGCAGTGAAATGTCTTCCCTATTTGCATCTGCTTCACCGTGGAGTTCTGCATCGATTTATCTTAATGTCGTCAGAAGGAAGAGCAAGAGTCACAAGCAGATTAAACTGCTCTGTTATCTAATCACTGAAGTCCTGCCAGCAGTGTTTATCTGTCAGGAAGCCACTGACAGAAGCAGTGCAGAGTCATAAACACAGCGTTTCTTTATCCAAGGGATTTCAATCCTCTCCCCATTAAGTGTCTCTACTTGTGTGAATGGTTCCCAGCAGCAACGCTCTGTGTAAAGCCACTCACATACTTAAGTGTTTGCAAGACTAATGTAAAACCCCTGAAAAAAATAAATTAAAAAATGTAAAAAGCACATTTAAACCCCTCTTTCCATTTAAATAAATGAAAAGTTCAGGCTCTCAAGCAAGACGAGAATAGCATCTGATTATTTATGCTTGCTATCCTTAGCGTGTAACATACTTTGAAGTTCTATAGATGTAAAAAATGTAAACCCACTAACTCAAGAATAACCATAATACTACCATATAATGAAACCAAACCAGGTCAGAAGCATAGATAAAACCATGTGCTTCCCCTAAGGACAAACATAATTCAAAAAGCAGCTTTACCCATAGAAAAACAGAATTAGCCTAGTTGGCAATACCTGGCAAAATCTATAATAAGCACTGTAAATCTTTGGATTTTACTGACATGCCTCCTCAACTGATACCTCTCACACTTCTGACTTCCCTTTGGACATCTTCCTCCAGCAACGAGATCATACTTCTTCTGGGCTTTTCATGAGAGAAATACCTTGAATCCCAACAGGCAAACATCTTCCAGCCCATTGACAAGTATTCTCTAGTTGAGCACTGCAACATGCCCTTGTGCATAACAGTGTGGCTGTAACAGGACATCTGGCAGCAATTCTCTCTCCGTGTCAATTTTGGGACAGCTGTCATCACAGCTGCATTTGTTTCCAGTGGCACAGCAAAGAGGTCTATCCCTGCTGGACTGGGGCACATGCTATGGGGATGGGACTGATTTCAGCCCTTTGGAGCTGAAAGGAGCTCCTCCTCCTCCTAAGGAGGAGGACTGAGGGCACAGAGGAGGAAGGCAACTTGGTAAGACTGAATTTTGCAGCATCTTCTAGATCAATTGTTTAGTCCCACCCAAATAGTAACATCAAGAATGAAATTCTCATTGTGCAGCAACCAAAGGCAGTGAGGTGGATAGGGCTCAGCTCCAAGCTGACAGCATTGGGCCAGCCCTAACCCTTACACAACCTCCAGTGCCCTGAGCAAACTTCTTAGAGCTCTTTGGATGTATGGATTTGCTGAGATTACAAATGTCAGCAGCTACTCACAAGGCGAATACACAACTTCTTTGACGTTTTTGCTCCATCTTTGGAAATAGCAATAGGAATATTTTTCTACAGGTGTCTCACAAGAACTGGATATTACATAATGGCTTCAAAATATAAAGAAAAATTCAAAACATGCTTTTCATTCCTTGAATTAAATGCTGTAACCCTTCAAAATTATTTTCTTCCTGGTCCTAATCAGCTCCCTCTGGTATTTTAAACTACTTGAAAATACACTGGAGGTCTATTACACAGCATTTAACCGGAAAATTTTCCCAATTGTAAGAAGGACCAGCTACAATTTCTTTTTCTGTTGTTGCTAAAGTTTCAAAACAAAACAAAACAAAAACACGCAACATTTTGCTGATAAAATACCACTGTTGGAAAGCCAGCCCCAACACCATCCACTTACAAATGCCATCCAGGTGAAGCTCACTAACAAGATAGAGGCTCAAGAACTGGGAAGAATGGAGACATGAACAGGACACTCCTCCTCGAGGGAGGAGAGGGACAACCCAGCACAGTAGGAGCAGAAACACACCTTATTGTATGAAAATGTACTGGAGGAAGAACTATACTTGCTCATGTTTATCTACTCGCTTCCTGAAAAAACAAACAAACAAACAAACATGGAAGAAGCATGTCTTTCTAATAAGCCCCCTAGCAAACAGAATACATTTCCCTTGGTTGCAGTAATTTCAGCACAGAGCTTCCCTAATGCATAAACTATAGAAATGCAGTGATGTAACAACACCAACTCACCCAAAACTAACAGAAGTAAAGTTCAAATTTGAATTATCATCTTATTTTACCCTCATTTGACTCAGGAAAGACTTTCAGGGGGGAAAAAGCAAAACATGCTAGTGCATGACTGAGTGCATTACAGAATTAATGCTCATTTCACTTAATAGGAACTTTAGCAGCCACTAGTGATAACTTTCACACACAAGAACATTTAATGCCTGAAACACAAACTACCTGTACTCTGGCTGTAGAACCCATTTGCTAACATGGAATGGGTCTTGAAGAACATTGTTTGTACAGATATCAATCTTTAAACTCATATTTCTGAGCCCTTAAAAAAAAAAACACAAAACAAAAACACAAAAACAAACAAACAAACAAAATCAATAAAAAACTCACATGCAAACCAACCTCTTCCTAGTGTTTCATTTGGACAACAAATATACACATGAATCTTGAAGATAAAGGAGAAGACAAAGAAAATAGGAGTAAAAAGTCTAGACTGAGAAGAAAAGAAGTAAATGGAGAGCAATTTCAAGGCTATATGTGTGAATGCAGATGTGGAAGCTCTATTAATCTTTAATGAAACTGCACAGCTAAATCTTCTGAAAATGTACCCAGAAATATCCACTGTAATGATGTCAGAAATATATTTGTAAAAGAAGATTCCTCTGGTGTGACACTTCAGTTCAAAAAGGAAAAGGGTTATTTGAGGTAATTTACTTTTCTTTAGTTTTGCTCTATTCTTTTGCAACAGATGGACAGCTTTGTCCATACGATAGCAGACTTTTGCCTTCTTTTGAATTTGAGATTGTAGGATTATATTGGTCAAATAATAAAAGATGACTGGGGAATAAAAACAATTACACCATAGAAAAATTACAAAATGCCAGTCCTATGCAATGGAAACTATAAATACCAAAAAATGCAAAAAATTAAAATTGTATTCTACTGCACAGTTAAACCTGGCTGGAGGGAGTGAACACAGATAACAGCTTTGACACAACCAGCTCTTGACCCCAGTCCCACTCTGCAACTACTCTGAGCCAAGAGTAAATTATAAATGATAAAAAGAAATATTTATAGTTCACATGCTGCTGCTCTCAAAAGTTGCCACCAGCCAGGCAGGTGGTCACTGAAGAAACCACAAATGCAATATTCATTTACAGGGCTCATTATTCTTTCATGTCCCTCTGCCCATGGGCAGCACTTGGTCATTTCTGGTTTATGTCCCTGAAGTGATGGCGTCATACAAGGC